AGCCAATAAATAACAGATTATCCACTTATTTCAACCACATGGGCCCACCACTTGAACGTTTATAAAACCGTACACGAGAAATCATGAATTATTAAATTCCTTCCCTGATAAAGTTCACTTGTGTTACAGAAGCACACCTACAATTGAAATGAAATGTTGATGGTACACGTTATAAGGAAAAAGAACATTATATACCAAATGTCTAATCAACATGATTATTGTATGCATTCAAAAACAGTTAACTCGACTTTATTTTAGATTGATGAGTTTGTTATTTATTAGTCACTCAAAAAAAGAGACTTGAGAATAATTCATTCACATACAAAAATCTTCTTTTTCAATTATTACCTTTAAATGTGTTTAATATATTTCTCTGTAATCCTGGTGTTTTCACGTATCAACATAAGATAAATGAATTGCCTGATTTAATTGCTTTCCTTTTCACAAAAAACTTGGATATTCATACATACCCTAAGACGAAAAAGAATGACTTTCATACCCCCGTGTATGAACTACAGTTGTTCAAAAAGTGTATACTGGTCCATCTTTCTGGAACAATCTTCATCCTGATTTACTTCATCCATCTTCTGTTCATCAATTATTCTCAGGGTTCTTTTTTGAGTGACTAATAAACTATAAGTTGAGTCTTGGAGCAGTTGCCCCAAGCTTGTATACCGTAACTTAAATATAGATTTACCAGGACATCACTAGGGAAAGAAGTGTTTAAGTCTAAGACACCTATATTTCGTGATAAAAGTTTACATAAATTGCTAACATGTATTTTCCAACTAAGTTTACAGTCTGTATAAAGACAACGAAATTGTGTGTGTTCAACGAATAAAATGTTTGTGTCATTAATGTAAATATTCCAAATGGAGACAATATTTACAAACGACTACCGCCTGTTTAAACCCAATTAGAGTGCTCTTACAAGAGTCAGCAGGCATTTGGTGCACATCCATTTGGGTTTTCTGTGGATGCATCTGAACGGTAAATATATTGGACCGAGCCTTCCCAGATTGTTATTATTATTTTTTATTTTTTTATTTGGCATTTCAAACATACAATAGAAGGTACAATAGTATGGCAGCATAGGATACAAAGTATGGAAGAATAAAATTGGCTTCCCCTGCTGCACCTCCCGAAGTTGCCTGGAAGAAAAAAAGGGGAATGTGAAATTCTTATAACCCGTTAGTCTTTTCTTCCGACTCGAGGAAATGCAGCAAATGAGGATAAGACAAGCCAATCTTGACGATAAGATACTTCTTAAATACTTTTCGAATACTTCTTGATACCTCTTGATCTCAGAACTTGAAATGTTGTTATCTTTCATGACATTATTCAATCTTGTTTACAGACATGTATGAGAATAGCGCCATCTCATGTCTCATGTCATTTTTTTTTTAATCGACTTTCCTTTTTAGTCGACTCAGTATTACTGAAATCTTGCGCCATTCAAATACTAAGGAGGAATTTCCCTCACTTGAGCTCATCAGCATATAAGGTTTAACCTTTTCATAACTCTTCAATAAAAGTTAAACAGACGGCTCAGTGTTAGAGCAGTTGACTCGTAACAGGGAGGCCCTGGGTTCGAAACCAAATGAATTCCCTATAAGAGCTTTTTGGTAAGGCATTAATCCTCATTATCAATTCTCTAGTAGCTATGATATAATATATGGGTAAAACGAGAATGCCCGTGTCTCTAATTTTGAAAGATACTTTAATTAGATTTGAAGAGCCGATGTGATATTTTCCCCCCGTCATTATTTTGTTAATAGCTTCAACCTAGGGAGAAAAAAAAGAAGGAAAAATTGTGCCGTTGCGAATTGTAGGTATATTGCTACTTTTTACAAGGAATAAGAACAAAGTATGTGAAAGAAATTAAAAAAAAATAATAATAATAAAATCAAAAAAAATAATGGCCCCTTTTGAGGGGCAAAACTTAACTTATATTGTACACGGAATCGAAAGGGTATGTCATTTAACACACACTAATCTGCAAGGATTTTCAAAACAAATGTGTTTGAAGACGAATAGTGATGACAGAATGCCATATTTGTGTTTGCTGTTGTATGCCCCCAAAACTCACTTTTGTATTCTTTCACCAGTATTCGTCTTCAAACACATTTGTTTTGAAAATCCTTGCAGAAATGCGTGTTATATGGCATTCTCTTTCACACTATTATACAATTTAGGTGAAATTTTGCCATCAAGTTTTCAGAGAGGCTTTAATTAAGCTGCACAGACATTTTAGATATTGATAGATTCTCAATCAATCTGCAATAAAATATTCTGGCCTTTAAATATAATAAATGTAACACAATGTATTAATCATAGAGGCATAATTGTGTCTATCATTTTAGTGGTGGCATTGGATTATGTGCAAGATAGGATCCAGGATGTGTGTTTAGAAGTGTGCGTGAGGGTGAACGTGTGTGCATGCGCGCGTGTGCGTGTGTGTGTAAATGTGTAGGGGTGTGTGTTAGTGTGTGTACGTATGAGCACGCACGAGTTCATGTGCTTAGTTCGCTTCGTTATATCGTAGACGTATTATAAATTAATACAAAAAGAAGAAATAGAGAGTACAAATATCTCAATCAGCACGTTAAAAAAACAAATTCAATGTAATCTATCGATCCAAGTCACTTCAAAGTGCCAACATATGCCTTATACATATTGCATGATCTGCTTTTGTTAGCACTTTTTTACCTTTCCTCTTTCTTTAGTCGTTATTAATTGTAAGAAAGAAAAAAAATCCAATTATGTTTGTCAATTTGGCACAATATCATGATTGTGTCCTTAAACATTTTGATTTCGAAATCATGTAAATGGTACGAACTTAGCTTGGGCGTTGCAATGACCTATTATCTTTTGAATTAAAGTTGTCATGCTTTCATTATTTTACGAAATGAAATATAAGAGTGATATGTCACACAATAATAAAATATTTTGTATGCTGGAAGGTCCAACTGTTGAGAGTTTTCACTGTTCATCTCTCCCGTTTCACACCATCTCACATCAGTATCACTACCCAGTATGTGGCTGGTTTAGTTCATCTTTCTTTCAGTCATGAACTAGCTCTGAAATGATTTATTATCAATAAACGATGCATTCCAAATCATATGAATAGAGTCTCCCTTCAACCAATACTTTTTACATAGGGAGATATCTGCCGTATGCGATCATTCGGAGGACTTCCGATTTGTAGCCTGGCTCCCAGGTTTAAGACATTTTGTATATTCTCCTTGGCAATATGAATGGTTGAGTTTAGATGTTATGCTTCTTCCAATAAGATGTTCGTTGACATCAGTAAGGCAGTTAGGTATGTAATTAGTCTATTCACAGAATCAGTTTGACTTGATTTTATTGACGTGATGGAGGAAAATCAATTTTGCCTTGAAGCAGGCTACTCGATTACGTGGATGTTGTGAAAAAGAAGCATGTGGAAGCAACACATAATCACAGTACGCGATATATATGTACCTATAGCCTCCTTTCAAGTTTGTGTATTATGCTTTAAATATATAGGACAAATGAAATGCCATGGTGAGTACAACAAAAGGAGTGTTTTGCAAAACGCTTAGGAATAAAAAATGTATTTAATGTATGCGAATGTGCAATTTTTTTGCTAGTTAAGTGCCTAACGAATATATAATATTAAGTTTGAATATGTACATTCACTTGAATTTAATGATATTGCCGGAAATAGAAGTATGATAGTCTCCTTTACGCCACATTATATCAGTTATTAATGGGGTAGTCCTTTTCGATATGAAGTTGGTTTGAATGGAAGCAGATTAATTAGAGAAACAGGTCAGAAAAACTTTGAGCAAAAAACGATTAAAATAGGACGGTTGTGAATTTGTGAAGATGCTATTGATCATACGCAAATTGGCATCTATGTGACATATATGATGAGGTCTCGTCTTATTTGCACCGTACTAAAAAAAAAATAATAGAATGACATTTTCCCTTAAGAAAATGTAAAGCCGTACATATACCCTAAATATAATTATTGCAAATATGCTCTTTTTTGTATACAACCCCTGTATGTATGAAAGAAATCTATTCCGTCATCAATAACAAAAGTTTGTAAAATTTTCTGTACAGAGAGAATTGGAGAGGAGCTCGCTAGATATGTCACAGTGTTGCCAATTTGTGTTTCACTGATAGTTATGACTGATGACAACTTAAGCTTTCTATTTTCTTCAATCGGATATTGTTTAAACTTTCAACAATTTCTTTTCTCTCATTCTTCTGGTTTTAATTTCACTTCAATGATTTTACCTTAATTGAAGTATGATAGTTTCGAGAAATGAAAAGGATAGTTTCGAGAAACAAAAAAAAATATCCACGCTCATGCGATTAGTTGATTAACCACTCAGTGGCTAGATGGTCGGTCGTAGATGAAATATTCATGGAAAGTGAATAATCACAAGTCTCACATTTTGATCACAACCATTGATGTCATTCTTGGAATTGTACCTGAGGTAATAAAACAAGCACATCAATTGCCCCCCCCCCCCCCTCTCCTTCTCCAGTGGCAGTGAGAAGGTTTATTTAACGAAATTGTGATTTTAAAGGTGAATAATATGCTTTCAGAATTAAGTATCCACAAACATCACTTACAAACTAGATGAAATCAATTAATTACCAAACTGGTGTTAAAAACCTTTGTATATTTTATATATTTTACGGTGGTCTATTTTTTATTCGTTCAAGATGATAATACGATATGTTAAAAGAGAAAATATATCGTTTATATTGTGCAAATAATATTTACTTCATTTTTACTGAACATGAGCCGTCTCGCTGTCTAACATACACACACAAACACCAACGCACACACGCACACGCGTGCGCGCGCGCACACACACACACACACACTCACCATCCATATACCCCAACTCACACTTGAACACTTGATTTACTCCGCCAAATGCGAGAACACAACCTCGTCGTGTTGTCGTTGCAGAAAAAAATAATTATAGTGCCTGTATTGAGACTATGAGGACGGTCGCATAGAATACTGTGTTTTCACTAACGCCCACCCATCCAGTGTATATAGCCTACGTGTTTATGGGGAAACAGACACAGGGCGAGCACTAACGGCTAGGACTGGGACAAATACTCGAGTGGCGTGAATTAATGATCAGCTGTGCTTTGTGATCGTGCTTGTGATTTGAAACGGTAAGCAATATTGTTGCTCTTTTATCTGTCATAGTTATTGAGCTTTCAATAAATGGTGCATATTTTATAGCAATGTGCTGCACTTATACGAACAACATGGATCATATATTTAATTAATGTCCTAACTCCTCTGTCTCTCCTCTCATGATCTTTTTGTTTACCTTACGCCATCCGCGACGCACCCCGTCCCTCTCTCTTTCTCTTCTTTCCCTTCATTTATCTCTTTCTGTATCTTTATATCCCTTTATATCCCTTTATATCCCACATAACTTCCCCCACACACACACACATTGACTTTCCGTTTATTCTCTAAGCTCTACTTTCTCAACCACAATTTCACAATCACACATTTCCCCTCCTCTTATCTCGATCCCTCTCTCTCTCTATTTCTCCCGTTATCTCCAAATTCCCAATCTCACTCCCCTATTCATACTTCTCTCACCTACGATGTTTCTTTATAGGCCCTTCGTTACATAATTAATTCCTCTGAATTAACGAATGTCCAGTAACAGCCTCCCTATCTGCATTTATCAATGTTTTGTTTTTATTTTGAGCGCGATGTGTAAACAAGGCTAACGGGTTAGGAGTACTCTAAATAACTATTGTTACAATAAAAAGTGTATCTGTGTGTGAGATAGATGCAGAACCCCTGGTGGAGACCTGGGAGGTGTTTGGAGCGTTAATTCTATGACAAGTGCGAGCAAACGATTTTTATCTAAATGATTAGACGGATCAAGTTTTATGTAATATGCAATTGATGTGTTTTCAGGGCTATTTTGTCTATACTATTCAATACGCCTTCAGTATTGAATATTATATACATATATTTGTAATATTTCCAAGATTCTATTCAGTATTCTATCATTTTCTATCCGTCGATTCTACCCCAAATCTACACTATTCTCTATTTGCATCAATATTCCATGAAATCTTGTCGATTTGTTTTACATTCCTTTGACATCTTTCACTGTCCCTCAAAAACACGCCCTCGTTTATTATGTCTCTCTCTCTCTCTCTCTCTCTCTTAAATTGCATCTGCCTTTATTTTTTAAATACACTGCATCTCTCTTTCTTTCTTTCTTTCTCTCTTTCTCGTGTTTTAATATTAATCTATCATCGGCTTCGCTCATGGCTCCTAAATATACAAACATGTCCCCGTCTCTCCTTTCTTTCCCTTTTCCTCTCTCTCTCTCTCTCTCTCTTTCTCTCCCCTCTCCTTTCCTGCCCTAAATAATAATCAATACCCTCTATTCCCGCGCAATTAATGACGAATCTCATTTTAATTTTCTCAGCACTCTTTCACTGGTTACATATTAACAACAGTCAATCTCAGTTACCAACCTGGTACCTGGATAGCAAACTATGGGGCACCATGTGACGCATGTGGAATTTCGTCATAAAATCACTCCACACACTTGATGTTGTCACAAAAACAATCAAGCAATGTGATTTTGTTCATAAAATCAAACCCGTTTGATTCCGTAGACAAAATCACTCTGTTAGAATGATTTCGTGACAAAATTATTCTGTGAGAGTGATTTCGTGTTGAAATGAAATTGTGAGATTGCTTTTGTGACAAAATCATTTATTTGAAGTAAACAACTTTGTGATGGAATCAGACGTGTAACACATGGTGCCCCATAGTAAACACTACCATTTCTTGTCTTGCAGTGGAGTAATCAATAGATGTGTCTTTGGTCTTTGATATAGGCCAGTGTTTGGGGTTTCACGCTAACCTTCTACATATTGAAATATCAGCTTTACATTATCCTTTTGTAATGAGATATTGTTAGTTTGGATACCAAAATTGCATTCCAAAAAAATATGGGCAATTTAACTGTCCCATAGAAGTTAATGTTGGGATTACATAATACGTCAAAGTAATGTTCGCAAATTTCAAAATGAGACGCTCAAGCCCATTAAAATCCCTGAGATGATTTGTTGAAATGGTTACAATCATGTAAAAGGGTCAATGTTGGGAGATTAAATTTATTCATGAATGAATAGTACGATTTTTATGTAACGCACCAACAAATATAATAATTTTTGTTTTAAATTATAAATATCTATCATTTTGTGCTCGTAATGATTTTGTTCTTACTTTCTGAATCTATATTCCATATTCTATATTTAAGCGATTACTAAATATTTGAATGGGTAAGAAAAAATGAGTATCACAAGGAGTAAGAAAAAGCTGATTATTAATATGATTAACAAAATGAACTGTTACATATGCAAAGCTTGAAAGTGTGACAGTCCCTCTCAGAACTATTTTTAGAAATGAGAGCGCGAGAAACATGAGAACGAAAGATGAGAAGAGTGAAAGATAGCTTGTTAGCGATATATATATATATATATATATAGAGAGAGAGAGAGAGAGAGAGAGAGAGAGAGAGAGAGAGAGAGAGAGATTGACATAGTTCTCAATTTCTCTTTATTTAATACTATGCAAGTCATTAAATTACATGAAAATTGGTAGTGTGGGAAGGGGAATAGGAGCGTACCTAACAACCTAATAAGGACAGAAGTTAAAAAGAAAAATTAGCTAGATTTGCAATGGCTGAATGTGTTTGGTAATCTTCTCAGTCTATTTCCCAGGGAACCTAAAATGTTGTCGGGACGTAAGTAAGTTACGGGAACGTTAGGTGTTTGCGGGGTTCGAGGTCAGTCTCTTACTTTGCGTTAGGAAAGAACTCATATTTAGCCTTATAATATATAACGAACTTAGTAAGCGAAGCATATTTCACACATAATACCATATCGCTTGCAATATCGTAATCAGGTTAAAAAATAACCTGACCTGACCTATTTATGCTGTTATATTATTTATAAAAAATAGACGCTATGTGCTAGGACAACATTTAAATAATATCATGAAACTATATTTCCATGGTTGTGCCATATAATTCCCATGCACGGAGTATAATGGAATTTACCGTTCTATATGAAATTATATTTCTGTATCAGTAAGGCAAAAAACCCAGGACCAACACGAGAACCAGAAATATTCATGTTGTTTACTTTGATTCGCATGATTATGCACGTTTCCGGAAAAGTCATGTTTAAGTTAGATCTTCAGACTAAAATCTCAACTTAGCGGATGATTAATGTCATATAAGTATGGTATAAACAAACATTTGGAATATTATTTCGGTTTAGGCCTTATAATTATCATAATGGAGAGTCATGATATCAAAAAATAGACATGCGGTATCATAATTATAAAAGGTTGATTATGAACCTACAGGCTTATCTTTCATTTTTATTTTGTCGATAGGGAATATACAGCAATAAATTTCCTCAAATCTTTAATATTAAGGATGCCTTAAGCAAAACAATTGTAAACTTTTGCATTGACATTGCTATGATTATCGTTCATTAAACAAGCAGAACTATTCGTCATGTAATGTAATTGCTACTGTAATTGATGTAGGTTGAATACATATTACATGTATTTCGTCATTTATATATACAGTCAAAACCTTCCTTTGTGGACACCTGTCTATAGCGGTCACACATATTGCATCCCCTAGAAGAGAATGTGTGTTGTGGAAGCTTAAAAATGTCCCCTGTCTACAGTGGCCACTAAGTAGATTTCCCTTTGGTAGCTTATGTAGAAATGTTTGACTGTATTTTGTGTTTTCTTATCGCACACGTTAACAGGAATGGTCATATTTTAGAATGAAATATTGTCAAAAGGAATGATTGCATAGGTTTTATTGCAGATGAGTATTTAACCTCATTAATTAATACTCATTGAGGTTTGATAACGATTGTTGGTGCTGTTATTATAATAATTATTATTTTATTTGGCAATAAAGAAAATCCATAACTATTCAGCATAAACACAATTATACAAGTTACTATAGGTTTATAGGAACACCAGGGACAAAATATAATTACCTTGATAACTGTGGCATAGAGCCTTCTGTACCTATTCCAGTGTATGTAAACATTAAACACTTTAAATTGGATGTCTTCACTTCTTACAAGAATATCTAATATAAACATTGCATTTTCATATCACTGTACCACATTGTTGGCTGGCAATAGCAAACTGAACACAGCGGAATTCAACAGCTGCTATCATTTGAGTACGATTGTATGTCGAAAGAAAGGGCACACAATACACGTTCGTTGCCTCCACCACTGAATAAACAATTTGTGAAATTAAGGATGCAACATAAACAACGAATAAAACTCTTGCAAAAAATCACCAATGGCTTTCATTGTTTTGTCCTTCATGATTCATAATTAGTGTTCATGTCCATGCGGAAATGATGACTCAATAAATATGGATGACGAAATCGAATAATTCCCAGGATATGTAAGGGCGGCGCTCGTAAATTTAATGATTCAAATCAATTAAATTCAGTTCAATTCGGTTTATTACAAAAATACAAAGTAATATTCCAAGGACTACTAGAGTGTTTACAATCACACTTTAAGAAAATGAAAGCACTTTGAGGTTGAAAGCATGGACAAATTAATATTCAAAGTAAAGTAGAAATAAGATCATTCAAAAACTATGTGACATTCTTTAGAATGAAAGACTAATAATTTGCTCATATTTTTTCCTAGATACATGTGTGTGAAAATGAGCGAAATATTGGGTGTAGGTGGAATAAAACATCATATATTTTGTAAAATTATAGCAGAAAACTCTAATGTTAAATTGCGCGATATATATTCTGAATTGAAATCAATTGCATTTGAAGGACCTCAATAAAATTATGAAGAAAACAATGACAAACAAATATAAAAGTGTGTATAAATGTTATGGTACTATATTAAGGCACGAAACCTGTTTAGTTGAATTAATTAATACCGACAAATCAAGCACAAAAGAGGTGCTATAACATATGCCTTGAGGACACAACGATCCGGGCCTTATATTTCTAAAGAGATATATTTAGAGTCAGTGTTGCATTTGGATATTTCGTTAGGTCTGGGTTTGAGTTTAGGTCAAGTATTTGGGTCAGTCTTTAAATCAATAATAC